TCCTGAAGTGCCTACAAAGGTAAGACAATTGACCTTGATGAAGCCATGCTTCTGCCACCTCAGGTGTCAGGGAATGGGGGTCCCTTCCCTCCTTCAGCTGCTGACCTTCCCTTTCCCCTCCCTCAATCTCTGGAGCACTTCTCTCAAGACAACCTCGGAGCCAGGGGCTGAGGTTGTGAATGGCTGAGCCTGGAGGTGTTCCTGACTGTGGGACCCTGGGCCAGTCCAGATCAACCTGCCTCTCGAAGCTGCATCAAGGGGCCTGTGACTCAGTAGCCTGGAGCCTGGGGGCTGCTCCCTTTGGTGTTCAGCACAAGCCACGATTCCAGGGAACTCTGATTCCGAACCTTCTATCTGCTCTGCAGATACCTCTTCTCAAACAATGCTTCCCTCCTCTGACTCCACAGCCCCCTGCTGAGTGAGGCTCCTTGGCTGTCCTGCCCACCCAGCAGACTAACCCTTCCTTCATGCCGCTATTGCAGATTTTTGCTGGTGTTCACCTGCCTGGTGTTGTCCGTGCTGTCCACTATCCAGGAGCACCAGGAACTTGCCAATGAGTGTCTCCTCATCTTGGTGAGTGCTGGAGTCCCTGCCTGAGGGAGGCCTTTTTATACCATGGCTCAGAGCGTGGCTTCCTGTGCTGTGTTCCCTGAGCTGGTGGCTGCCCATCTCTGGGTTTCATCTCCTGCTTTATAGCAGGTGTTGGGGACCTCCTGCCTCTATGCCAGGGCTTATGATGGGCCGAGAGGAGGTGAGTAGGTCCCACTCCTTCTCAGGACCCAAACTGCTAACACCACCCCCAAACAGAAACATCTCGGAGGGGACAGCTGACAGACAGCCACCCTTTATGTCACTTAGTCTGCTTTAGAGTCAGGGTGACTAGGAGTGGGAGGGTGGGGTGAGGAGAGAAACCCCGACAGCTCACGGGGACAGAGAGGACAGACGTGAATTTTCAGTCTTTTTGGAAGGGGCCACCTGCCTTCCAGAATCCCCCTCGGTTCACCCAGGTGTAAGCACCTCCAGGAGAAGTGGGCTGAGGAGACCCTAGTACCCTACCCCAGGGACTCCAGGCTGCGTCAGGGCTGGAGACTGGGGAGAGCTCAGGCCCTGGCCCCACAGGAATTTGTGATGATCGTGGTGTTTGGCCTGGAGTACATCATCCGTGTCTGGTCCGCCGGATGCTGCTGCCGCTACCGAGGATGGCAGGGCCGCTTCCGCTTTGCCAGAAAACCCTTCTGTGTCATAGGTAATAAGGCCTGACCCCCTCTACCCTTTACCTGACCCGTGACCCCCAAGCCCCAGGGCTGGCACCCTGACCCCATATCTGACCCGGACCCTGGCTGCTGGCACAGACTCAAGGGACCCTCTCCCCTCCTCCCCCCCATGGCCCCACTGACGCGGGGTGGGCTGGGCTGTTGGCGGTGGCCGTGACCGCACCATCCCCGCCCCTGCAGACTTCATCGTGTTCGTGGCCTCGGTGGCCGTCATCGCCGCGGGCACGCAGGGCAACATCTTCGCCACGTCTGCGCTGCGCAGCATGCGCTTCCTGCAGATCCTGCGCATGGTGCGCATGGACCGCCGCGGCGGCACCTGGAAGCTGCTGGGCTCCGTGGTCATGGCGCACAGCAAGGTGAGGGCGCGGGGCGCGGCGGGGGCGCGGCCCGGTCGGGCGGAGCAGGAGGGCGGGGCCAGACTGGAGCCCGGGAGGCTGGACCCGGCTGGGAGGCGGGGCTGAGGGGAAGGGCTTGAGGGTCTCATTTAGAGACTTCTGGTTGCAGGGTACGTGCACAGCAAAGTGGGGAGCTGGGACGAGTCTGGGGGTGGGATGGGGGCGAGGCTAGATGTGGGGCCAGATCGAAACCTAAAAGTGGGGCTTGGGGGCGGGGCAAGATGGGTCTGGGGCGGAGGTCTGAGCGTGGAACCTGGAAGGTCAAGGGCGGGGGCGGGGCGTGCCCTGCGGTTTTAAGGGCCTGGCCATTGCGGGAAGGAGGGGCCGGGTGTCCCTGATGGGAGGAGTAGAGACAGGCGCCTGGGAACTACAAAGGGCGGGGTACTTTTTATCCCCTTCCCAACACCTCTAATGGGCCATTCTGGGGGCCTCCACTCCCCCCCCACCTCTCCCAGGTGGGCTCAGTGTCCCCCACTTCCTCACGCCTTCCCGCCTCGGTCCCACCTGTGGTCTCACCCGTTGCTGCCCCCGCAGGAGCTGATCACCGCCTGGTACATCGGGTTCCTGGTGCTCATCTTCGCCTCCTTCCTGGTCTATCTGGCCGAGAAGGACGCCAACTCCGACTTCTCCTCCTACGCTGACTCGCTTTGGTGGGGAACGGTACGCGAGGGTCTCCCTTCCCCTTAGGACCATCTCTGACCCTTGTGGCCTCCGATTCAGCCTCTGATTCAGGGTTGGGCGGGCCTGTCCCTGTTCTCTCTGCTACAGCCCAGTCTGTATGCTAGCTCCCCAATTTGCCCCATGGACCTGCTTGTGCCCCTATCTAATCCCAGATGCCAAGCCCTGTGGCCTGTATCCCAGCATGGGGCTGGGGGGTGAGAAGGGGCGGGATTTGTCTGTGCCCCTAGCCCAGTGGTCGGCAAACCGCGGCTCGCGAGCCACATTCGGCTCTTTGGCCCCTTGAGTGTGGCTCTTCCACAAAATACCACGTGCCGGTGCACACGGACAGTGCGATTAAAACTTCGTGGCCCATGCGCAGAAGTCGGTTTTTCAGAAAGGAGATAGAGACGAAACAAGTACACAAGACGAGTGTGGATGGGAGAGTTGGAAGGGGTCGACCTCAGCGAACGTACCTCAGTCAGATTGAGGACGTTTTTAGCAAAGGCCAGCTTAGGAGTACCCTAATTAAGTTAATGACAATGTACCTACCTATATAGTTTAAGTTTAAAAAATGTGGCTCTCAAAAGAAATTTCAATGGTTGTACTGTTGATATTTGGCTCTGTCGACTAATGAGTTTGCCGACCACTGCCCTAGCCAATCCCCATGACAAGTCCTTGTGACCAGCCCCCGGTGGGCAACCATGGGGGGCCCTTTCCTCACGATCAGGCCTTCATCTCTGTGCGCCCCCAACAAGTTCATGTGGGTGGCCACTGTGACCAGCCCTGTGGGTAACCTATTTGTGTTCCCAGATTACCCTGACAACCATCGGCTATGGTGACAAGACGCCGCACACGTGGCTGGGCAGGGTCCTGGCTGCCGGCTTCGCCTTACTAGGCATCTCCTTCTTTGCCTTGCCTGCCGTGAGTCCCTCTCTGCCTAGGATTGCCCGGCCAGGGGAAGGGGTCCTGGGGGCAGAGCCTGCTAAGTGCCTGTCCCACATGGAGAGCGTCTCAGATGGGCAGAGACTGCCTTTTATGCCGACCACATTCCCCCAACCATGCCTATTCCCCCAGGGCATCCTCGGCTCTGGCTTCGCCCTGAAGGTGCAGGAGCAGCATCGGCAGAAGCACTTTGAGAAGCGGAGGATGCCAGCAGCCAACCTCATTCAGGTACCGGATGCCTGGGAAGCCCCTGAACTGAATTGGCGTGGCAACACTGTATGCTGACTCTTGTGTCCCAGCTTCACAACTGTGACTCCACTTTGAAGCTCAGAGAGGAAATGTGACTTTTCTGGGTCATATGCCAAGTCAGGAACAGAGCTGGGATGCTGACTCAGATTGTCGAAAATGTCCCTCTGTACCAAGTGCCCAGTTTAGGATTAGTCAGAGCTGCCCCACTGGCCGACTCCGGTCCCAGTGCGACATGGCCTGAAGTGGAAGACAGCTGGCCGAGAGGCCCTAGGTCAGCGGTTCTCAACCTGTGGGTCGCGACCCCTCTGGCGGTCGAACGACCCTTTCACAGGGGTCGCCTAAGACCACCCTGCATATCAGATATTTATAGTATGATTCATAACAGTAGCAACATTACAGTTATGAAGTAGCAACGAAAATAATTTTATGGTTGGGTCACAACATGAGGAACTATATTTAAAGGGCCAGAAAGTTGAGAACCACTGCCCTAGGTGCTTGGTAGAGACACCCATCCGCTGTGCAGCCAGCAGTGCGCTTGTTCCACTCCAAACACCTTAACTCATTAATTCATTCTACAAGCACTCACACGAATGAATGTTGTAACTGCAAACTGAGATCGATGTCGTGAAAGAAAGAAATGGTTCTCTGAAGAGCTTTTAACAGGGGACCTTGAAGGGGGATTCAGGGAAGGCTACCCTGGGAAAATGATACTTGAGCTGAGAGCTGATGATGGGTAGGTGTTAAGTGGTGAAGAGGTGAAGCGGGGAGACTCAGGGTAAGGGAACAGCGTGTGCAAAGGTCCTGGTGTGTTTGACGAACTTGAAGAAAGCTAGCAGGGCCAGAACAGGAGCTGAAGGAAGAGTGGAGAGTGGATAGGTGGGCCAGGCCCAGACGCAGGGCCACAGGGAGCAGTGTCACTTTTTCCTAAGAGCAATGTGGACAGGTCTGAAGGAGGGGAGCGGGTGACATGATCAGATTTGTGTTTTGAAAAGTGGTGAATGGATTGGACGGTGACTCAGGTAAGTGTGGGAGACCGGAAGAAAGACTCTGGCAACAGTCTGGGCGAAGCAGGTTGCTGGGTGATGTGAAATGGAAAGAAATGGGCAGATTCTGCATATTGAGGAGGTGAAATAAGTGACATCAGGAGTGAGGGTGAGGGAGATGGCAGGATGACTTCCAGGTGGGGTGACACCTCCAGGTTTGCTCAACTGGGTGGTAGATGGCCCTGCTCTCTGGAGTGGGACCGGATGTGGAGCCGGAAGAATGTGAGTTTGCCTGGAGCATGTGGAGTCTGAGGGTCTTCTGAGCCCCTGGGTGGCGATGTTGAGCAGGCAACTGGATGCCAGATGTGCCTCTGAGAGGAGAGAAATGGGTGGGGCAGAAAGGGACAGCTGTTGCGTGTTGTTGCATGTAGACGTAACAAAGCCCTGGGCCTGGATGCGCTCACCTCGTGGGTAAAGAGGGAGCAGAGAAGATGGGCCAGAACTGGGCTTTTTGGAGCTTCAACATTTCATGGCTGGGCAGGCAAAGTTGAGCCAGCCAAGGAGATAGAAGCAGCAGCCAGAAGAGTGGGGTAAAAACTAGCAGTGTGTGGCCTCAGTTTCCCCACTGTGCTGAGGCATTCTGATGGGGCACGGGCTGAGACAAGGGCTCAGATTTGGGTGACTCTGTGACTCAGCCTTGGCTTTCCCTGGTCAAGTGTGTGTGCAAGAGACTCACCTGCGGGAGGCAGTTCAGGGAATGTAGGCACAGCCACATCGGCGTCCTCTCCAGCATGCCACCCTCTGACCCCCAACCCAAGTCTGACTTAGCCCCTCCTTATCTCTCCTCCCCAGGGTGGAATTCTGCTCCCATCCCCGCTATCTCCAGCCACCAGCCTAGCCTTTCCTTTTCAGTGTCCCTGGGGCACAATGGCCACTGTCCCCTGGGAGCTGGCCTTTGGAGGGGCATTGGAGGGGCAGGCAGCTGGCACTTCCATGCCGAGAGACAGCTGGTATTGTGGTGCCCATAATTAATGAGACAGTCTGGCAGCTGCTCCCCAGCCTACGCCAGGGGCCTAGGCAAGCAGGAAGTAAAAATATTCCTGTCCTGGGAGAGTGCCCGGCTGGTGAGTTCATCAGTGGGCAGTCCCTTAAGGACAACAGGCACCCAAAAAGGGGGGGCACCCAGGGCCAGTTCTACTTCACCCTGTCTAACAGCTTCCATGCCTCCCTGCCCTCGCTGATCGCCCCACTCACAGTCCCTCCTGGCTCTTCCCCTTACCTGGAAGGAAGGAAACAGACCTTCCTCTTATCTGACCCTCATTCCTCCTGCTGTGAGGAAACCCTGCAAGTCCATGAATGCGGAGGGAGGTGATGCTCTGTCTTCCCTTCCTCAACCCTTGGGCAGTGACAGGCAGCTGGGAAAGAGGGGGTGGGGTTGTTAGTGATAATGATTCACTCAGTCAGCATTCATTCCTTGAACATTTGCAGAATACTCACCATGTGCCAGAGGATGCAGTGGTGATCAAAACACAGCTTACAGTCTAGCAGCGGTTCTCAACCTGTGGGTCGCTACCCCTTTGGCGATCGAACGACCCTTTCACAGGGGCCGCCTCAGACCATCCTGCATATCAGATATTTACATTATGATTCATAACAGTAGCAACATTACAGTTATGAAGTAGCAACGGAAATAATTTTATGGTTGGGTCACAACATGAGGAACTGTATTTAAAGGGCCAGAAGGTTGAGAACCACTGGAGGAGGAAAGACATTAATCAAATACACAATGAATAGATAGCTATCAGTGGTATAGTAAGGGAGATAACAGGAGGGTTTAACAGGGGAACTTGGCATTAACTGCCAGCTATATGCCAGGTACTACACTTGGCATATCACATACACTCACCTATTTAATCCTCACAACACCCAGTTAGGTAAGTAGTATTACACCCATTTTACAGATGAGGTAACTGAGGCTCTGCAGCTTTACTTAACTTGCCCATAAGGGGCACAGCTAGGATTGAAAACCCGTCTACCTGATGACAGAACCCCAGCTCTTAGCTGCTGTACTCCAAGGTCCCTGGCTTTGAGGCTGATCTGCTCGTTACCTTGGGAAAGTCATTTCCGTCTAGGCCACCATTTCTTTGTCTGGCCCTGCTGGTGGCTATGGAATTGAAACTGGCTTATGGTTCTGCGTACCCTTCAGCTGGCCCAGGCCTGGGTTGTCTCAGGGGCAGAGGGCTGGTGGGGGGCTGAGAGGCCACACTGATGCCTTGTCTCCCGTTTCCCTTCCCTCATACCACCAGGCTGCATGGCGCCTATACTCCACCGACAGGAACCGGGCTTACCTGACGGCCACCTGGTACTACTATGACAGTATCCTCCCATCCTTCAGGTAGGCCCTGGTGCAGGGGGAAGGCGGGATAGGGGCTGCCAGTAATGCCCCGTGAGGACAAATGGCTGGGATTCAGCCCTGGAGGGTGGGAAAGGGATGATGGCTCCCAAGGGAGCATCTAGGGCTGGCTCTGCAGATCCTACCTACCTCAGAGCCTGGAGGGTCTTCTCTCCCCCTCTCTGTGCCCTGGGAAGACTGTGGACACTGAGCACAGGGCGTGGGGTAGAGCCCTGCCTGCCCCTCTGGATGAACCCGAGCCCTGGAGTGCTGGCAGTCTGCATGCTTCCCAGAGTCACTGCCACCCAGGGTAGTGGCACAGCCGCTCATCTCCCCTCGGTCTGAGTTGGGGGCACTGTTAGCCTTGCCAGCTTGGCCTATTGCAATGGATCGAGAAAGTCTGGGATGGGCCTGAATGGGCATGCCGGAGTTGGGTGCAAGGGCCCACATAGTACCTCTGTGTGTGAATATGTACCTACTTTTACTGTGCTAGGCAGCAGCTTTAGGGCCCAGAAGTGAGTTCGCCCACTGACCCAGGTCAGGGTAAGATTGCACAGGGTGGCTCCATGCAGGTTTGCATCATCAGGGTTTGTGTGGCCAGGTGCCTGGCCAAGCCCTTAGGTAGGAATGAAGACCATGGAGCACAGCTTGGTCCCGCGGGCAGGCGGGCATCAAGCGGCATCAAGGCCGTCCAGGCTGCTGTGCTCAGCGCTTCTGCTGGCGCCTTTTTTTTTTTGGCCTCATTAGTTCTCCAAGAGCAGCTGTTGCATGATCCCACTCATCCCTACACCTGGCCGCCTCCCTCCCTACTTCCTCCCAGCCCCAGGGGGTTCCCAGGGGAGGAGCAGGAGGAAAGGGGCTGGAAAGGGAAGCTCCCAGAATCACACTGGTTTCCCCATCTCTCCACCTGGCAGCTGGTGGAGACCAGGAGGGTAGTTAGTTTAGGAGAAGCTGCCCTTTCCAGGAGGAACCCAAGGACTCAAGGCCGGCCTTGGGGAATGGCGCAGGGGCTGGTTTGTTGGAAATATGATGTGTTTGGAGGAGGAGGGAGGATTTGGGGTTGGGGTGGTCTTGGGTCCTCTGGTAAGAGAGACAGAGCTTGGTTTGGAGATTCTGGGTCGACTAGGTCTCCCTGCTCCTTGGACTGCAGTTTCTTCATCTATACAACGGAAAGGCAGAAAGGGGAGCTGTCTTCCTTGGGTTATGGAAACAGGAAATGCCTGGAGAATTATGAAGAAGCTGAGCCCCAGATCTGGTCTCCAATAACCCAGAGCTTCAGGGGAAGGAGCTGGCTAGCCACCCTATCACATCTCCCTCTTCAGCCTCAGTTTCCCCCCTAAAATTCGGAGTCAACTCTGGAGACTGAGGATTTCAGGGCTGCCGCTGGCCGCCGGGTAGGCACAGCTCCAGGTCCCTGTGCACAGCTTGGTGAGCAGAGTGAGCTGTATTTGAGCTCCCACTTGCCCCCTCGTGAGGGTGCTCTGGAGTGTGCCCAGCCTGCACAACCATACTTGGCATCCCTGAGGCCTTCCCAGGAACTGAGTGTAGAAAGAGAGGGAGGGAGGCTAGTCTCTCCCACACTGTACGCTGCCTGCTCTGGCCTGGCGTGTTTGCTGAGTCCCTGGAGAGAGGCAGGGCCCGGCTGGATGTGAGCTCAGGAGCTCAATGCCCACCGAGTGAGGGGGTGGTGCCAGGGCCCTGCCTGCCGCTGATGGCACCCTCTCCTGCAGAGAGCTGGCCCTCTTGTTTGAGCACGTGCAACGGGCCCGCAATGGGGGCCTACGGCCCCTGGAGGTGCGGCGGGCGCCAGTACCCGACGGAGCGCCCTCCCGTTACCCGCCCGTTGCCACCTGCCACCGGCCGGGCAGCACCTCCTTCTGCCCTGGGGAAAGGTAGGGGCCCTCTGGGGCCACCACCTCCTCTTGCTTCTTCTCCTCTTCCATTCTCTGTCTCGTCCTCTCTCAGACTTGTGTCCAGCCACTACATGGCTGTCTGGGCCTGTTCTGGGGACTCCCGGGCCTTGTCATGAGGCCTGGGCAGTTGTCGAGCAGCCTGACAGATACAGACTGAGAGCCTCTCTGGAGGGGTCAGGCTGGACTCACCTTTTTTGTCACCTGGGAGAGTGGGGGATCTGTCCCCACCATCCTTTCCTATCACCTCCTCCATTCATTCCGTTGTCCTCTTTCTTTCTCTGTTTCCACGCCTCCCCCCCTCACTCTTCCATCCCTGCACCCCCATCCCTCCTGGGAAGCTGGAGAGAGGAGGAGGCCGCTGGCCACAGGTGCTTACGGCTCAGGTAATCGTGGGCACCATCCTGGGGTGTGAGGGCAGGGACCCCTCCCCCAGCATGTTCCTCTAGAAAGGGCTTGACACTGAACTCGCCTCTCGGGAACAAGACGCCAGCTGGAAAGAGAGCTCTGTGACTAAGAACCGCTGTAGGACCTACGTAAACTCAACCAATGACTAATGCTCTTGTCTTGTGTAACCCTTGTCCACAGCTTTGCTAATCCCAGAGGATCCTCCTGGGATTCTCCCACAATGCCTTTCTTCTTTTCTGAGGGACAGTTTGCTGCTCCCAGCAGTCTTCTACCCCTAGACCTGACTTGCCTGGAGCTTTTGCATCTAGAAAGATCACAGAAATAATGTTTGCCCCACCCCCACCCCCCACCACACACACACATACATAAATGTTCATAATAGTGGATTTCCAAGCCTATTTGGATAAGGGAAGCCCCCTAACTCACAGTATGGGAAAGTGGCTGCTCCCGTGGAAGTAGAGCTTTGAGGTTAAGGATTCAGTCCCCCCTCATTTCTCACCTGTCCTCTACCCATCTCTTTGTTTTGTCTCATCTTCACACATCATCCCTGCATCAGCCAGCCGGGCATCTGGGCCTTGAGCCTCAGGTGTGATGCTGAGCCTGCGGCCCAGAACAAGGGAGGGGAGAAGAGGTGACCCACTCTGTGTCAGGAGGAGGAAGTGCGGTGCAAGCTCACCTATGCCACCTGATGCTGTGTGTCCTTGAGAAAGCCATCAAGTCACTCTGAGCCTCTGGGTCCTGGGCAGCAAATCAGTGATGTTTTAGCTGATAAGGAGCTCTTGGTTCTCTTGGTTTCTGGGCAGAAAAGCTTGGGGAGCTGGGAGGAGGGGGTTTTGGTGCAGGGGACTCTAGGAGCAGCATTTCTTCCCTGTTCTGAGTAAGGACACTTGGGGGGTGGAGGCGCTTAACAGAGAGGCAGAGCCAGCCCTCCAAGTCTGGGGCTGGAGGGAGGGGCCAGGCCAGGCTGGCACTTCCCTGGAAGAGCATTGCATTCAGTTTCTCTGTCATGGCCTAAAGGCCGTCATTGTTTTTCCCATCCGAACCAGCCCCGGCCTCCAGGCAGAAACTCAAAAGTTTTTGGCATTGGTGCAACCCTGCCCAGCTGAGCCAGGGTGCTCTGTAGCTTCCAGTTCACTCTGGCCTCACCTAATCTAAATAGGAAGGTTCTGGGGATGGAGATTAGCTTGTGACCAGCACCTGTGCCACCCCTCACAGCTGCTCTGGGTCTCTAGGCCCCCCAGGGCCTAGGAACAGATTATTAGTGAGTGCTTGGCTGTCACTAACTCCAAGCCTTACGTCTTTCTGCCCTGGAGTGTCTGCATGGCTGGGACTCGTGGTGCTGGTGGTGGGGTGTTCCTTCAACTAAGTGACCCCACTGAGCTGCGCTGTGACTTCTAGGCAGTCAGGCACCAGCCTCAGGCTAAATGGCCATATCCTTAATCTTGGCTGTCTGGGACCCATGGCGGGGGGAGGGGGATGCCGCAGATGGGACCACACACACACACACACACCTGACTGCTCACACCCTCCGTGGTGCTTGAGGATGGACTAGGCCCGTGGTCGGCAAACCGCGGCTCGCGAGCCACATGCGGCTCTTTGGCCCCTTGAGTGTGGCTCTTCCTAAGCCTTAGGAGTACCCTAATTAAGTTAATAACAATGTACCTACCTATATAGTTTAAGTTTAAAAAATTTGGCTCTCAAAAGAAATTTCAATCGTTGTACTGTTGATATTTGGCTCTGTTGACTAATGAGTTTGCCGACCACTGGACTAGGCCAAGCACACTCCCAGGACTACGGGAGCAGGACTTCCTGGGGCATCCATTGTTAGGGCCAGAGCCTCCTCTCTTTGGGGTTGTGTGATGAGGTGCTAAAGCAGTGTTTCTCAAAGCCCGGTCCACTGACCTCTTGCATCAGCATCCGGTGGGGTATTTGTTGAAAATGCAGACAGCTGGATCTCTGCCCAGGTCCCCAGGAGGAGAACCTCTGGAGAACAGACACCGATTCTGCATATTTAACCTGCTCCCCAGGAGATCCTCATGCAAAGCTTGAGAACATCTGGGAATGTGGGCCAGAGGACGTCTGGGTGCGGGGCCTTCTCCCACCAGCAACAGGAGGCTGGCCCCATCCTGGCAGCTCCCCATGCTCTGCCCACCTGTCTCCGTCCCACTAACCTCTGTTTGTGTCTTGTTCTCAACTTTCCAGCCAGATGTTTAGTAATAAACGGAGTTTCTTTCGGATCCACGCCAGCTGGAGACCGAGGTACCCCTTACCTGCTCCTCCTGTCCCTACTCCTCCTTGCCCCACCCAGTTTGGGGGCTGAAGAGGGGGACAGGATGGGCCAAGAACAAGGTGCATGTGCCTGCCGCCTGCCATCTGTCTTGGGGCCCCGATGAGCCCCTCGCCTTCCTGGGGATGCCTCTGCCAAGTCTGGGGCATGGGCCTGGTGCCCAGTCTGCCAGGACGGACACTTACAGGAGGCTTGGGATGAGTTCTGGCTCTGCTGCTGACCCCTTGTGTGATCTTGGCCAAATTGCTTTTCTTCTCTGGACCTCGGTTTCCCATCTGTGAAATGGGCAGATTGAACTAGAGGCTCTATGAGGGTCCCTCCCACTCTGACTTTTGCTGGGCCTTGGGTTTAGCTTCCCCACCGCCCACCTAGGGACCTAGCAGATGCCTGAAGGAGTGGGATTGGTACCTCCCTTGCTAACTCCAGAGCCCAGCTCTTTTAGCCACATCATCACCACATTCCTTGGTAGCTGCCCCATGCCCGGCCTGCACTAGGGACACTGTGATGAAGAAAACATGGTGCCTGGAGAGTTGCAGAGTAATCGCTATTCGGTGTGATAAGTGTAGCAGAGGAGGAAGCAGAGGGCCTGTGGAGCCTGGGTCAGGCACTTCACCCCCAGAAGGTCCAAAGCACAGTGGGTGTGAGGGAGGGCATCATAGGCCAAGGAGGTGAGGAGGTGAGAGAGAGCACAGCCATGGCAAAGGACCAGGCAGCCCAGCGTGGCCAGATCTGAGAGCGGGAGGTCAAGAACTGAGGTTGGGGGCAGAGCGGGGTCATGAAGAACCCAAAAGCCCAGTGTGGGCCTCGTCCTCTTGGCACTGCCTGGCAGCTTGGGCTCATGGAGTCCTGGGTTTCCCAAGAGTGCCTCTGGAGCAGGGGTCCTCAAACTACGGCCCGCGGGCCACATGCAAATACAAATATTGTATTTGTTACCGTTTTGTTTTTTTACTTCAAAATAAGATATGCACAGTGTGCATAGGAATTTGTTCATAGTTTTTTTAAAACTATAGTCCGGCCCTCCAACGGTCTGAGGGACAGTGAACTGGCCCCCTGTTTAAAAAGTTTGAGGACCCCTGCTCTGGAGCCCTGTGGGCTGGGGGCCCATGAGTAGGAGGTGAGTGCCAGAGTTAGAGGCAGTGTTCCTTAGAAACGTGGGTTCTGGGTCTGAACCTGGCTGCCACTCACTCGCTCGGGGACCTTGGACATAAGCCCCCTGTGCCTCAGTTTCCTCAGATGTAAAATGTGGGTGATAATAGGATCTGCTTCCTGACTCGTAGGAAGTGCTGTATGGATGTTGGCCTCATTTGCTTTGGCTTGTTGAGCAGTCAAGACCTTACTTATTTTAAAAAGGAGTTTGGAAACCATGGCTGTAGGAAGTGGGTACACACTGAAGGGTTAAGCTGAGAGTCTCCAGGTCTGCCCCTTTTCAAGATGACGTTGGCCGTGTGGGCATGAGAGTCAGGAAGGGCAAGGCCAGGGCAGATGGGCCAGTGGTGAGGCTGTTTCCACAGTCCTGAAAAGAGGTGCTGTTTGCAGCAACAGAAAGAGCAGGCTGCCTCTCTTTCCCCATGACCTTGGCCTTGGGCAGGCAAATGGTGAGCCCTTAGAGAAATCCCTTGTGGAAGTAAGTACAGGGTTTGGGCCTAGGTCAGTCAGAGGCCAGCCTGTGCTCAGAGCTTGCTCCCTCCCTCCCCCAATAGGGCAGCCCTAGTCAAGCCCACCCCGTCCATCTTCCAGGCACCAACAGATCACTTAGATCAGAGTTTCTTGATTTTGGCAACATTGGCATCTTGGGTCTAATAATTCTTTGTTACCAGGAGCTGCCACATGCGTTGTTGGATATTTAGCAGCACCCCTGTCCTCTACTCAGTAGGTGCCAGAAGCACACCCCAGTGTGACAACCAGACATGTCTCAGACAGTGCCAAGTGCCCCTAGCGAGCACAGTTTCCCCCGTGTGGGTGATGGCTTGTCCCAGAGAAAGAACACAGCGTGTACAGCCAGAGAAGACAGGGTCCCAGTCCTTGCTCCATCCACAGGAGCTCTGCCACCTTGGGCAAGTCATTTCACCTGCCTCTGCATCTATAAAACAGGGATGGAAAATACGGAACCCACCACACGAAGTGGCTGAGAGCTGGAGGGCTGAGGCAGTGAGACAGGACCTTGCGTGTTCGAAGGAGCCTGGGAAAGGAAGGCGCCCTTTCCATGTCCACCGTGTGCCAGGTTTCTTTCCATTTTCTTTGAGCTTTTAGGCTCCAGAGAGGCTCACAGGAGCCATTTTCTGGGCCCTGTCCAAGGAGCTGGAATCTAGCCCCGCCCCCTGGGGAAACAGCCTTCTTACATCAAAGCAGAGCCCATGGCCTCTGGCTGGCTGGAAAGTTACAGAACCCACAACCCGCCAACCGTCACAGAATCAGAGCTGGAAAGGGACCTTTCAAGGCCTCTAGTACAAGCCCCCAGACCTTCCCTGGATGAGTCCTGCTGAGTGCAAGCTGTCTTGCTTGCACACTTGTCATGACAGGGAGGTCACCCCGTTCCCCCAGAATACCACTGGAGTGATGTGTTGGGTGCAGAGATCTGGAGTTCCAGGCCCTTGGCTGAGTGTCAGGGTCTTCTCCAGCTCCCTCTCTTCCTCTCCCCCTTGGAGGAGTGGAGGACAGGAGGAGGGGTTGCACGGGCCGGGCGGGTGTGGGGGTGCTTGCCAGCATGAGGAGAGCTCGAAGGAATGGCTCTGCAGAGGAAAGTTTGGGAGAGCCAACCTCAAACTTTGGTTGGAATTTTTGGGATGTGTTGAGGGGATACTGGGCCAGAAAACAGCATGCTAGATTGCGGGGGCCACCCCTGTCCTTCCCTTCTGATTTCAGGGCCCAAACCTTTGACCTATCACCTCTCCCCTCTGGGCAGAGGCCCCAACCTTTAAGGATGGCTCTGTATCCTGGCTGCCTTTCCGAAGTTGCCTCTGGTTTCAAGATCTCCCTTACCGCAGTACCTTGACTCTGTACCCTGGACCCCATGCTCTGGGCATGGGGGATCCCGGCTTCCACCCAACCCTGAAACCAGAATCTATCCTCTACCATCCCCTTGATTGGAAAGTAGGTGACACAGTCTTGTCCCCCAGCTCCTGCCCCACCTCAAGCTCCTCTGAGACTGGCTGATGCTCTCTGAGCCAGGGCCTTAGACATTTGGGGCAGAAGAGCCCCCAAACCTATTTGCTAGGGGCCCTCCAAGTGGCAAGCCACAGCAGGGAGGCAGCCACAGGGCATGGGATGGGGGACGTTTGCATAGGTCCTGTTCCAACAGCGATGACATGGTCCTTGAACCTCTTGGACACAGAGTTACTCTACCAGGTAATGGTTATCCAGGACCTGTTCTGGGGAACCTGAGCCCCCCAACCTGCCTTCCTCCATGGCTTGGGGGTGTGGTGGGGAACTGAGATGTGGGAAGGGAAGTTTGAGCACATGCAGACATGCGTGTGTGTGCTCACATGAGCACAGACGTGTGTAGGTGCTGTTCTCTGGGGGCTTAGTGAACAGGCAAGTAGAGCTGTGGAGGGGGGGATCCATGATCACATGGGCAGGTTATCAGCCCAGGTGGGCAGAGTTCGAGCAGGGGAGACCTCAGATGAACAGGTTACAGACCTTCCCCGGGAGGCAGACACCCTATGTGTCCTGGGCATACATGTGGGCCCAGCAGCTAAACAGGGCCAAGGCCGCTCAGCAGCCAGGCCACTGCAGGCCTCCCAGCACCACTTACACTGAAGCCCGTGTGGTGGAGACCTCGGGAATTTTGCAGCACAACTGCCTGTGCAGATGGACAGGTCCCAATGCCCTGCCTTGACCAGTATGGGATCAAATAGTTCCAGGAGTGGGGAAAGGAGGAAGGGAATATAAACTGACACATGTACACACACCCCAACATATGTACACACACGGATACATGTGTACCCACTGTCACATGTGTGCATGCCAACACACACACACACACAGACCCTCAACTCCACATAGCCTGCCCCTGGGTACAGTGAGGGGCTGGAGGTTCACCTTGGTGAGCACGGCCAGGCGAGCTTCTCCATCCTTTCACAGCCTGTCTGCCCAGGCTGCTCACCACCTCCACCCACCCATCCATCTGGGCCAGGCCAGCTCCCCTGTCCTCCTGTCCGTCTTTGACTTCCTTCTTGGGTTCTATCACTCCCTCCACTCTGACATCTGTCTCCTGTGCACCCCTTATCTGTCTGGGCACTGAGGGGTGGGAGGTGAGGGAGGGGGAGGATCTGCTCAGACTGACCCTGGATTAGCTTCTTGTAGGAGTCAGGGCCCCCCTCACCACACCCTTGTCCCATCCCAGGAAGTCTCCACTTGGTGGAGAACCATACCCAACAGCCACCCCCGAGTCCTAAGTCAGCTATGTCTCTACTCATGCCCACCCCAGCTCCAGCTAACTTGGCTCTCTCCCCCACCCAACTTGCCCTGCCAGTAGCCGAATGGGCATCAAAGACCGCATCCGCATAGGCAGCTCCCAGCGGCGGACAGGCCCCTCCAAGCAGCACCTGGCACCGCCGTCAATGGCCACCTCCCCAAGCAGCGAGCAGGTGGGTGAGGCCACCAGCCCCACCAAGGTCCAGAAGAGCTGGAGCTTCAATGACCGCACCCGCTTCCGGGCCTCTCTGAGACTCAAACCCCGCTCTTCTGCTGAGGGTGAGCCCTGGGGGCCTGGGGCCCCGGACCTGCTGAGGGTGGCAGGGTGGGGACAGAGTCTGAGCTGGGGGTGGAAAGACTTGGTTCCAGTCCTGGCTCTGCACCTGATTGACTATCTTTGAGCACCTTCTGGTCTGTAAAATGGGCATCACGATACCTGCTTTGCAGAGCTCCAGGCCGAGAATCAGATGAGAATGCGGAGGTGGCATCTGGTAGTGGTTAAAGGCACAGGCTTTGGAGCCAGGCTCCCTGAGTTTGAATCCTGGCTTTGCCATTTGTCTTGAGTAAAGTCCTAGGATGACTCTCTAGGACTCATTCTTGTCATCTCTAAAGTGGGGCTGATAATAGTATCTACTCCCTAAGGTTATTGTGAGGATTAAAGGAGATTGTCCATGGGAGGTGAACAGAAGGATGCTGGGAATATAGTAAGTGCTCATCGAAAGCAAGCTGCAGTGCAATGTGCTTTGGAGGGAGCAGGAGCCCATACTTGCTGAGCCGGGACTGTGTATAGCCCCACAGTGGATTCTCTGGTTTACTTCTCCCAACCGCTCTGGGAAATAGGTTCTGTTTGCGTCCCCATTTCACAGACCTGGAGGCTGAGCTCTCAGCTAGTCAGTGGCAGAACTGTTATCCTCAGCCAGGCCTAACCAGCTCCATAGCCCATGCGCCACGCCCTGCCCCTCTTCCCCAGCCCAGCCAGCAGACACAGGCGGTGAACCTGGTGCGGGTCACTTTTTAACCAGAAAGGTCACTTTTCTGAGTTCTAGCTCTGCTCCTGACTTACACTGACTTAGGCAAGATACTGCCCCTTTCTGTGACCCAATGTCCTCTTCTGGAAAACGAGAGGGTTGGACCGAGTTCCCCGGAAGAGTTCTCCCAGCTTTGACATGCTTCAGGCCCCTGGGTGCGAAAAGGAGGGGGCGGGTGAACAAGGACGGAGGATGGGGACAGGAAGCCCCTTTGACCTTGGAGGGAGAGGACTCAGCTACGCTGCCTCTGTCTGTGCTGGGTCAGCCCCTAATGCGTGGCTGGCTGACAGCTCGGAGAGGCCTTTCCTGGAGTTATAGATCCACACGAACCATGAGAGACGGGGCAAGGCTGGTGCCTGGGGCCTCCTTTCCAGCCCAAGGACATACCTGGCCTCCCACCACCTTGTGCCCTGAGGGCCCAGGACAGCATCACCTCTCTGTGCAGTCAGGGCACCAGCCTGGCAAAAGCCATTTCTCTCATCCGGAAGGAAATGACTTGATTTAGGGGCCTTGCCCAGTGGCAGAGCTGGGCAGGGGAGCCAGCCCCTTGACTTCCTTCCCTCTTGGTTTCCTCTTGGCTGAAGGATAGACTGTGTGTCTGATGGTGTGCAGAGGCCACAAGCCCCTTTTCTTAGGGACTCCCCGTCCTGGGTAGTAGAACTAGTGGGGCTTCCTCCAGGGCTCTGTGCCGTTCCCCCCAGGCCAGACCAGATGTGCTTCCGCCTGGCCACCAGATAAATGTTCACCCTGTCTGGCCACAGGGAGATGCCATGCAATGAACTGGGGATTTCCACTCTGGGTAGGGCATCGAGGGAGGCAGGAATCTGGTCTGCCTTGTGCCCCCAGGAAGGTTCTGGGCCCTTTCTGGGCCTTGGTCTCCCTATCAATACTTCTAAGTATAATTGGGCATGTGGTGGTAGGGGTGGGAGTGGCCCCTTCTGCTGCCACCACCTGGGTCCCCTGACTTTCCAGAGGGCCCCTCCGAGGAAGTGGCAGAGGAGAAGAGCTACCAGTGCGAGCTCACGGTGGATGACGTCATGCCTGCGGTGAAGACGGTCATCCGCTCTGTCAGGTGAGACTTAGGCCTCAGGTGGGTCCTCCCCCCATTCATCTGCCACCCATTGCTGCTCCCCATCTGGGGTCTGCCCTCATGGCCAGGCCTGGCCTAGATCCCGGGCACACCAGCTGCTGCCCGCCTGGCACCCTTGTGTGGGTGGGTGCGGAGGTGGCATATGGCTCCCAGCAGGGTTTCCGCATACTCTTATGATGGGAGGGCTGGCTGGGTGGGGCGGCTGGCTCAGCTGCCCATCACGCCCACAGCATCCTCCTCACTTCTCTCCCCAGCCGCTTGCTCGTTTTACGTCCGGCTCTTTTCTCTTTATTTCTCTCTCCCTGGCGTGCATCAGCATCTGCTCTTTCCCTCCATCTGTGTTTCAGACTGTCTCTCTCTCCTTGTGTCTTGACTTCACCCTGTCTGTTCCCCCAGGGCCGAGCAATGGTTTTCAAACCACAGGTCATAGCAGTTTGAAGTCAACTTAGTGAAATCAATTTAGTGGGCCATGGTCCACATAAAAAATTAAATAAAAGAAAAGAAAAGAAAATATCAGTGTGCGTCCCAGTAGTGAGGGTAAATAATGTGTATGAAACTTTGTTTTCAGTTATGTGCCTGTGTGTATGTGTGGACTGGTTTCTGAAGTAAAATATATTTCTTATGGTAGGTCTTGGTCAAAAAGTTTGAAAACCCTTGCCCTACTGACTCTACTGGCTGTCTCCTTGCCTCCACACTTCAGGGGTGACCAGTCTCCTGAGCTCTTTAGTCCCGGCCCAGCATGGATCTGGCCCCCCAGCTCCTTGGCGTGGTCTCTGTCTCCAGCCTGAGTTCCACAGATGCCTTCACCCCCAGGCCTTCCAGACTCACTGCCTCTTCCCTGGCTGATGCACCTGCCCACAAACCTCTTCCCTTTGTGTTTCTTTAAAAACCAGAGTCAGCTGAATTCCTCCCCAACCCCCCGAGAACCTGAGTTCTCTTCTTACCCTCTTTTTGCACATCCCATCTCTCCCCTCCAAGTGACGAGCTTCCAGGAAACAATGCCCGAGCTGCCACCTGGCCCAGGTCAACACTCCTTGGCCACCCCACAGACTCCTTGCCCCCCGCACGCCCCAAACCTGGTCCTCTTCCTGGTCTCCGTTTCAGCCAGTGGCACCACCATCCACCCCGTTGCCCCAACCACGGGAGTCAACTTAGTGAAATCAGCTCAGACTTAGGGGTCTTTCAGTCCCGAATTGCTCACTGCTGTCCCGCATCTCACCTCACTGCCGCTTCCGGCTCAGGCCCATCCCTGGGAGCAGGTCTTCCTGCCTACATTTCTTTTGGGGGAATAAGCCCCAGGTTCCCAGGTTCCCTCCAAGGCTGGCAGAACAGACCCTTCCCCACCACCCAACTTCCCATTGCTCAGTCTCTGCCAGGGATTCAGGGCTCTGCAGAGTACCCTCCTCAGCCTCTATCTCAAGGCCAATCCCTTCCCGTCTTCTCATACGCCCACCCCACCTCCCTTTCCTTCCCAACTTGTTTCGGCTACTTTGACCCGACTCACTCACACAGGGTCCTGCCTGCCTTTGTCCAGAAAGCCTCCCTCCGTCCCCCCCCCAAGACTTGTCCCCTGACTGCACCAGCCAATGCCTCCCTTGTCATGCCCCCCAGCCTTCTTTCTCTATTCCTTGACATGGCCCCTGTCAGCCCATAATTGTTTATGTCCTCTGACGCCCCCTCAGACCAGGGCTCCTGAGGCCAGCAATTGGAGCTGACGCCCTTTTGGGCGCCCAGGTCCAGCACAGCTGTGCTAACAAGCATTTGCTGAGGGAATGCAAAAAATGTCTTTGTCCAGCCCTAGCCGGTTTGGCTCAGTGGATAGAGCGTCAGCCAGCGGACTAAAGGGTCCCGGGTTCGACTCCAGACAGGGGCACATGCCAAGGTTGTGAGCTCGACCCCCAGTAGGGGACGTGCAGGAGGCAGCCGATCAATGATTTCTCATCATTGATGTTTCTCTCTCAGTCTCTCCCTTCCTCTCTGAAGTCTATCTATCTATATATCTCTCTATCTATCTATCTATCTATCTATCACTAATTTTAAATGTCTTTGTCCAAGCTGTCATCAGTAAAAGTGTCACACTTAGCAGGGAGCAACCCGGTCCAGTCCCTGCCCTCCCAGGCAAATGCGACTGCACATATAGGCACATTAAAGAATACCAAACTCTGGGTCCCAGGGCATGGTGGGTAGGGAGGGAGGCTGGGAGACTCAGCAGAGGCTGTTTGCGGGGGTCCAAGCAGGAGCAGCCTTGGTACTGGTGACGGGGCTGGAAAAGAATTCCCTCTGAGACACTCTTCCGGCCCCTCCCTCCACAGGATCCTCAAGTTCCTGGTGGCCAAAAGGAAATTCAAGGAGACGCTGCGACCGTACGACGTGAAGGACGTCATAGAGCAGTACTCGGCAGGGCACCTGGACATGCTGGGTCGGATCAAGAGCCTGCAGACCCGGTGGGTGCGCCTGCTCCCAACCCAGGAGCCGGGCAGGGAGGCCCTGGCCCCAGATTCCACGCGAGGTCCCAAGTCCAAAGCCAGAACGAAGCCCGAGTGCCCCCTAGGGGCCGCTAGGGAGGCTGGAGTTTCTCGGGGCTGAGGCCAGACCCCTCGCCTGTCTTGAACCTGAAGAACGAGCCAGCGCAGGTCCTCTGTGAGAACCCGATTGGCCTGCACAATTCAGGAGACGTCTTTAGATGATTGTTTCCTGGACATAAAATAATGGGATTAAAATAATAACCTCCCACCTCCCAAGGGGATTGTCCTCCATACTGCCCACCTCTTACCTCTGGAATTCCCTGACACTTCTCTCCTCCCGGCATATAGGAAGAACTCTCATACCAAGACCCCAAATCACCTACACTTTGCCCTTCTGTGGCCGGAATTCTCGCTTCCTGTTCATTCATTTGTTCTCTCAAGAAATAGTCATTGGGTATTTGTTACTTGCCAGGCAGTGGGGATATGGTAGAAAGCAGAACAGAGTCCCTGCCCTCATGGGGCCTTCATTCTAGTGGAAGGAGAACAGGTGGAATATGTCAGACAATAATAAATGCTAAGAAAAAAAAAAGGGCTGGAGTATTGGGGTTTGCTATTTTAAACAGGAGAGAAGGTGATATTTGAGAAAAAAAATTGAAGGCGAGGCAAGCAGCCCTGTGGCTGTTTAAATGTTTTCCAGAGGGAACAGCAAGTGCAAAGGCTTTGAGATGGGCATGTGGCTGGAGTGTTGTTCTAGGGCCAGCAAGGAGCCGACTGTGCCTGAGGAGAGAGGAGTAGCAGATGAGGTTAGAAGGCTAATGGCGCTCAGACTGTATAAAGCCCTGTAGGCCACTGCAAAGATGTTGGTGTTCATCCAAAGTGAGATGCAAGCATTGGAGGGCTTTGAGCAAGGAGTGGTGAGATCTGAGCTATATTTTAAAAGGATCACCCTAGGTGGTGTGTTGCCAATGGCTTGTAAGGGAACTAGGATGGAAGCAGGGAGACCATTGAGGATGCTACTTCAGACATCCAGGCAAGTGATGACGGGGACTTGGACCAAGGGTAGACATGGTTAGATTTAGATATATTTTGAAGATAGAGCTGATAGGGTTTTCTGATGGGGTATAAGAGGGGGAGAAAAGGTGTCCAAGATGAAGCCAGGGTTTTTGGCTTAAGGAAGAGGGAAAAGTTGCTGTCTGTTGACATGGGGAAGGCAATGAGGGGAGCAAGTTTTGATCAGTAAAATTGGGACATGTTGGGTTTGTGATGCCTATCAGACATCTAAATGGAGTGATGATCTGGCAGTTAGAAGGGAGTGGGGTTCAGAGGAGAGGTATGGTGCTGGAGATATAGATTTGGTGTCGACAGTGTATAGTGGAATGAACATCTGGAACTGAAGACATCACAGCGAATGAGAGTAAATGCATAGAAGAGGTTCCAGGAGCGAACCTTGGGTCCTGCAATATTTAGAGGTTGTAGAGATAAAGGAGCCAGCGAAGGAGACTCAGTGAGGTAGGAGAACCGGGAGAGGGTGGCGTTTGGGAATCCAGATGAAGAAAGCACTGGAAAGGGTGCTCAGATGTGCCCAGCGCTGCTAATAGGGCAAGTATAATGAGGACTGGGAGATGATCATTGAATCTGCAACATGGAGGTCATTGGGATTTTGACAACAGTAGATTTGATGAAGTGGTGGAAGTGAAAGCCTGACTGGAGTAGGCTTTAGAACGGAAGGAGAGAGATTGGAGATAGAGGGTAGAGAAAACACTTTCAGGAATTTTGCTGTAAAGAAGAGCAGAAAAATAAGGTGGGGCCAGCTCCAGCCTGGTCTGCCTTATTACTCACAGCCCCGCTTGTGTCTCTTCCTCTTTTCCCCGTCCATTTCCCACCTGTCCCCCCACTAGGTGATGTTTTATTTGTCGTGCTTCTGTGTGATGCCTTTGCTCAGCTCAGTGGAACACCCTCCAAGCAGTGGCCAGTCCCTCCGTTTGGCAAGGCCCCCTCCCTCGGGGAGCCTCCCTCCCACCAGTGCAGGCTGTGTCTCCCCTTTTCAGCAGGCAACCTCGAGCGAGATCTTGTGGGAAGGAGGGGTGGCTTGTGTCTGGGCCCTTTGACGGCTCCCTTTCCCCCACAGGGTGGACCAGATTGTGGGCAGGTGCCCCGGGGACCGAAAGGCCCGGGAGAAGGGCGACAAGGGGCCCTCGGACACGGAGGCGGCGGATGAAATTAGTATGATGGGCCGCGTGGTCAAGGTGGAGAAGCAGGTGAGTGCGCAGAGGGCGTTTCATTGGTGTGGCCGAGCTAGTCATCCACCCGGACGCTCTGGAAAGTCGCGGGGTCAAGCGCAAGGGGAGGCTGCGCTTCTCACAGCCGCCACCCTGACCACTCCCCAGCCCGGGAGGCCCAGGCTGGACCCTCGCGACTGGGGCCCAGCAGAGCCCCGCCCCACAGATAAGCCCCGCCTCCCAGTAAGCCCGCCCACGAGAACGCACCCTCTCCTGCCGAGCCCCGCCCCCGGTTGCTATAGTCTCAGCTAAACCCGCCCAAGTCCCACCTCCTTAACTTAACCCCGCCTGGGTGTCTCTCGATCGCCCGGATTATTCCAATTTAATTTTGTTCTGAGGAATAAGCCCCAGGTTCCCAGCTTCGTCCCGCCCTCGGAGCTCCGCCCTTCCAGACGCGCCCCTCCCCGGACAAGCCCCTCCTCCACGCCGTGTGCGGCCTCGGTCCCGGCCAGGCCCTCCGCGTAGCCGCGCTCCGCCCAAGCCCCCCCTCCAGCGTCCCGGCCCCAAGTCCCGCCTCCCGGCCCGGCCCAGACCCGCCTCCACCCGCGCCCCGCCCCGCCCCCAGGTGCAGTCCATCGAGCACAAGCTGGACCTGCTTTTGGGCTTCTACTCGAGGTGCCTGCGCTCGGGCACCTCTGCCAGCCTGGGCACCGTGCAAGCGCCGCTGCTAGACCCCGACATCACCTCGGACTACCACAGCCCCGTGGACCACGAGGACATCTCTGTCTCCGCCCAGACGCTCAGCATCTCCCGCTCGGTCAGCACCAACATGGACTGAGGGGCTTCTCAGCGTCGGGACGCACTCGGCCAGCCCCTCGGCCTGGCGCTCGGACCCGCCCCCGGAGGCCTGGGGACTCTGCTCTTACTTGAACTCGCCCCTCGCGGGGAGAGAGGCCATGCGCGGTATTGAGCTGCCTGGGTAGGCGAGATGCGGGCTGCGGGCCCCACCTCAGGAGCGTGCGATGCCAGGCCGCACAGGGGGCAGCAGCAGCGCTGCCCCGCGACCTCTGGGCGCCCCCGTGCCCTGCCCGTCCCATCAAGGCCCAACCCGCCCGCGGCAGGGGCACTGCCCGGAGAGTGGCAGCTGGCAGCGGGTCGCTGGGGCTCTGGGTCTTGAACCAGCTTCCAGCTATGCAAGGTGAGGTCTCTCGGCCCGCCCTTCGGACGGAGCAGGGAAGCCCTCCCGCCAAGTCCCCGCCCCCTTGGGGGTGGGCCCAAGGTGCCCTCACAGGTATGCACAAGCACAGGACCCTGCCATTAAGCAGGTGGGCACCATATATGCAAACTCTGTTAAATATGCAACTTTGGGGACCCCCATGGGGTCCCTCTGCCCATCCCTCATTGGGAGATGGGCCCCCAGCAGTAGCTGGTCTCAGGCTGCTTGGCCATGGTCTCCATTTCCACTCTTTGGCTTATCACCCCTCCCCACCCAGCATGGGGCCTGTTTCTCCCTTACCTCCTCCAAGAGCAGCATCTGGGCCTCTCTTCCCTTTCCAGTGTCCCCTCCCAGGAGCACCCTCTTCCTGCCAGGTGTCCACTCCTCTCTCTGGCCCTCCACTCATATTCGACAGCACACGTTTCTGTGTTCTCCCCAAAATCTCCCACAGACAATGCTCCCACGTCACAGGAACATGTCTCTTTAGTTTCCCCAGACATGCAGGAAGTCTCACACTCACACTGACACACAGTTACACACATGGAGACATTAGCACAGAGCCACTGAGCCTTCCCGGGGCCTCTGCAGCTGATGCCAGTGGACTGTCCTTGCAGGATGATGTCCACTAAGTGGTGCCCCCCACTCCATCCAGGTAGGAGAGGGAGCACTGAAGGGACCCCAGGTCTCTCCAGGCCCCACCTCAGAGCTTTACCAGCTCTCCTTTCTCAAGAAGATCTACTCCTCACTGGTCCAGGAGCCCTAACTGCTGCCTCTGCCTGCCCCCAAGGCCCTCCTCGACGTCCCCACAGCACAACTCAGGCCTAGGCCTCTGGGGCCTGGACAGCACTGGAAAGACCCCAGGCCCCTCCCCAGATGGTTATCAGGCCCGCTTCTATCTAGGCTTGCTGCCTTCCTGGTCACTGTAACTCCCAGAGAGAAAAATAATGCACCTAGCAACCACCATTGCTCAGGCACCAACTGTGCATCCAGCACTCACATGCACTGTTTCCCCTCCTTCCATACCCCACTGTTCACTTTAATTGGCAGCCCCTCTACTGGCATAAACCCCCACCCACTCCAGGCCCCCAGCACCTCTTTGGTATCCCTACTCTTTGTCCCTCTTCTGCAAAGCTGTTGCGGGTGGCAGGAGAGTGATATGTAGGGGGACCCTCTGTGGGGTACCAGTGAACAAGGGGCTCAGGCCCAGCCACCTGCATCTCATGACTGGGGACCTGCATGCACCAGCGCCAGGGCTGGGGTTGGATCTTGCTCAGCCCCATGGTGCCCAGCCTCTGCCCAACATGCCCTCTGCATGTCACCATCATGCCCTGGATGGAGCCTATGCCGGCTAACCTCACCTGCACTGCACTGTCCCCAGAGAGCCACCCCTGGGCCCCTCAGAGACAGAGCTGTGGAGAGGGGCAGGAGAACGGGATTATCCTCTGACTAAAGGAGACCGGGGAAGAAGCCCTCGCTCCTTCCGCAAAGTTCCCCACCAAACCGGTTCTCAGATATGCAAGTACCTCACTTTGTTAACTTATTAACTTATTGGTTTCATTAAAGTTTTCTGTAGGATGTGGTTGGCCTTGGCTGTTTGGTGGCTGTGGTGTGGGGCACCTGGCCTGGGGGTGGGAGGAGGTGATTTGGATTAGTCAGGACTCTTGATTGTAACAACAAAACCTCAATCCATTCTAGCTTAAGCAAAAATGAAATTTAATGGCCCAGATAATGAAAAGTCCAAGGGCTGGGTTTGGCTCCATGCATAGTTAGATCCAGGTAATAAAACACGTCAGCAATCTGTCTTCTGTCTCAGCCTTCCTCTCAGGCAAGCTGACCTCTCATGATGACCCCCTGCACCTCCAAATTAACTTTCTTTTGGCTCAGTACCTCAGTGAAGAGGGGTGCCACTTTCTAATGGTGTACATCAGCCAGGGCCCAGTCAGGGAAACAAACCATACCAGGTTTTTCAACAAAGAGAATTTTCCATAAGGAATGGGTTACACTTGTATTACTCTTGAACACAAGAGAACACTGAGACAACCTGGAGAAAAATCACTGCCGAAAGCAGCTACAGCTCCTAAAGCAGCTACACAAGGGAAGAGGCTGGGGTTAGCAGAACCCACAAGCTTGATTGGAGATGCACCCTAAAGTGCTGGGCTCAGAGGTCTGAAGAGGGGTTGCTATCTGGTTGGTGATAGTCCTTTTAGGGGATGCACTGAAGACTGGGAGTGCAGAAAAATGCCGAAGGCTGCAATCAACTGTTGCTACCAGGCTGTTGCTGATAAGGTTGGTAAGCAAAGGAAGAAGGAGGTCTCCACTCCTCCTGCCTTCCAGTGTTTCTCTAGTGTCCCTTATTGTCAAAGGGAGCTAAAAGGAGTAATGTGGTTTGAAGAGTCCCAGCCCTAGTATGACAGACTAGTATGTATGACAGACCCTGCATTTGGCACTAAAAGACAATAGCTTACTAACTGCTACAGTCCACCCCTTTGGACATTCAGTATCCAAACACATCAATCCACACATATTTGAATCTGCATGTAGCAACAGTAACTTCCACCTAATAAGATGAAACTATCTTGCATACAAATGAAGACACTCTAACTCTCTCCCCGAAAAATGGGGAAAACAGGAAGTCCCACCATCCAATAGATGTATCCATCTCTAGGAGTTAGTTGTTGAATCCACATTTGGGTAATGTTAATTTCTCCCCTCCTGCAACTAAACAATAAGCTGTTAAGGTAGCCATCACAATTTATATAAAACAACAGAGGGAAAGAAGAAGGGAGGGAAAATAAATAAACATATAATGCACGCATACACACACACACACACACACACACACACACACACACACCAAGCAAGGAAGAAAAATATGCATGCAGGCCTTCTGGTAACTCATCACAATGCCATAGTTGACCTATGCTGTATATCTATTGATCATATATATCTTTTTTTTCTTCTATTGCCCTTCTATGTTCCCTTTGCCCTCGGCCAGGACCTCAGCTGCTTAGAGTTCTTTACATGGTAGAGTGACCCAAATAGTCATTCTTGAAGGTTCTGAATCCTCAATGGCCCTGCATGGCTTGGGGTGCCGTAGCTTTCGTTAACTTCTTTTTTAAAAAAAATATATTTTATTGATTTTTTACAGAGAGGAAGGGAGAGGGATAGTTAGAAACATTGATGAGAGAGACACATCAATCAGCTGCCTCCTGCACACCCCCTACTGGGGATGTGCCCGCAACCAAGATACATGCCCTTGACCGGAATCGAACCCGGGACCCTTCAGTCTGCAGGCCGACGCTCTATCCAGTGAGCCAAACCGGCCAGGGCTCATTAACTTCTATTACTGTACATGGAAGCACTAAGAGGGACTGTAGAGATTCCCCTGGTTGTAGACCTAGTCCTCCTCACCCTTATCCTCCTGCAGCAAGTTTCCCCTTGGTAATGAAGATCGGTAAGGCAGCCAATACATTAATTCGTTCTTTACCTGCTGGTTTAGTGGCATGAGGAGCCCAAAAAGGCCAGTTAGAAGTTTCAACTTCCAATTCAATGAAAACTGTGTTGCTTCCCTTCCCTTGAGAACTAAGACCTCCAAACTAGCAGAGCCCAACATTTGGGGACAAGAAGCGAAAGTTTTGTGAGTGGGTGCAGTAGCCCGAATAGTAGCCACCCAAAGATGTCAGGGCCCAATCTCTGGAATTTGTAAAATGTTACCCTATAAGGAAAAAAGATCTTTGCAAATGCAATTAAGTTAATGATCTGACATGAGGAGATTATCCCGGATTAACCAGTAAATCCGAAATCCAATTGCAAGTGTCCTCTTAAGGGAGAGGCAGAGGGAGATTTCATACACAGACGAGGAGGAGGCAATATGAAGACAGAAGCAGAGGCAGGAGTCATGTGACCACAGCAAGGGGATGCCAGCAGCCACCAGAAGCTGGGAGAGTCGGTGCAGAGATTCTCCCCCAGAGTCTAGGGAGGGCAGCCCTGCTGACACCTTGATTCAGGCCCAGAGAAACGGATGCAGTTCTGGCCTCCAGAACTGTGAGAGGATAAATCCTGTTGCTTTAAGTCACCAGGTTTATAGTAATCTGTCCCAGTACCCACAGGAAACTAATACTGTGGGGCTTTGTGTGTAATAATAGTGAGAAAACCACTCTCACTCCCTCCCATTGATGCCTGGAAACTTATATTCTGGCTGCGTTCATAAAGACAAATCACTGCTCTCCCCATGTTGGAAAGGATCCAGTGGAATCAACCTGGCACCAGGTAGTCAGAGGAACCCTTCTGAATGGTGATATCTTGGGTATTCAACATTGTCTCTGTTGATGGTAAGTTGGGCATACAGTCGTGGCATTAGCCAGGTCGGCCTTGGTGAGGCAAGTCCATATTGTTGAACCCATAAGTAGTGTCCATTCTTCCCACCATCACCACGTTGCTCAAGAGTGTGTTGAGCCCTAGCCAGTTTGGCTAAGCAGATAGAGTGGCGGCCTGTGGACTGAAGGGTCCCAGGTTTGATTCCGGTCAAGGACATATGCCTGGGTTGCAGGCTTGATCTCCAGTGGGGGGCGTGCAGGAGGCAGCTGATCAATGACTGTCATCACTGATGTTTCTATCTTTCTCTCCCTTCCTCTCTGAAATCAATACAAATATATTTAAAAAAAATAAGAGTGTGTTGAGCAAGCGCTGGAGGGACTGCAGAACGAGGCTGGCTGATGCCCCCGGGATGTGCCATCTGGCTACCTGATTACCCAGAGCCTCCCCTGCCATGATGCCCTTTGATGAGACTTCACTTGGATCAGAAATATCTTCACTCTCTGTGCCCACTTC